AAAAAAAAAAAAAAAAAAAAAAAAAAAAAAAAAATCTGCATGTAGGTTCAGCAGACACCGACTTCTATCAGTCTGGAGGTGAGGGATAATACAACAGGATGGGCATGACCCAGGGCAGAGCAAATAGTCCCTGGGTCAGTTCTACAGCAGTTCTCTGCTCACAGTCACCTGGCCGAGGTCAGGGAGTCAACCTGAAGTCCAACACTCCCTCTGCCTGTCAGCCTCCATCCCTGACAGGGGGCTGGCTACACCCGGGACAAGGTACATTTTTTATCTGTGCAAAGACATCTGTGTTCAACAATGGACAGTAGTCCCTATTCCATGGCAGCAGGGTTCTAGGTCAGCCATACCCAGACTCCAGAGCACTACTCGGTCCTCCTCAGGAAACTTTGAGACACCCTCACTTCTCAAATCACCAGGGAAATGCACAAGGGGTTAAGCAGCAGAACACATCTTTAGCCAGACATGGAAGACAAGACAAAGACCCACGACCTATGCCTAAGGTGTAGGTGCTGAGGATGAATCACAGAAGGGTCTTAAAAGTGTCCCCATGGCTCCCATATGTCCCTCCCCCAGGTGGGTCTGAAGAACATAAGTGAGGAAAAGTGGACCTCAGATGCCTGGAAACCCCTGAGCCAGGGCTCTGTCTAGTCCTTCACTGGATGACTATGCTGAGCCTCCTTTGTGTTGCTAAGAGAGGAGGCAGGTTTGATGATCATTCCATATGAGAGATTTAAGAGGAAGACCTAGCTCAGTGGGAAAATGCCTCAGTCCTGGGACTGAAAGTCTTGGACATTTCTTTATGGCCTTAACCAGATATTTAGCTTTTGCATGCATTTTATATTCAGGCTGCATTAAATGGGGAAAGAAAAATCTATCTTACAAAGCAGAGTAAAATACAGTGGTACCTTGGTTCATGAGCTTGGTTCTTTCTGTGATTTTGGTCATAAACTGGGTAGGACAAGAACTGAATCAAATTCAAAGGTTAGGTTCAATGCTGACCTTAGGGGAAAGTTTAATTCAATTCTCATCCAGTTCGGTTTGTGATCAGAATTATGGCGAGAATTGTTTCACAGATAGAGATGCCACTGTATTTTGATGTGAAAGCCACTGTCCACAAAGCAAAGGAATTATTGCCTTAGTAGACAACCAATCTAACACACGTTCCATAGTCAGAAACATATGTACACACGAAACCTTTAGTCATAGTTTTTCTGTGTACCTATCCCTTTGCATCACTCATAAATGCTTAATTTCCTATGAAGCATGAAGGGAGGGTCCAGATTAGTGAGCCAGGACACTTGGAAAATCCTGTTAACCTGGAGAGCTACCTTTGACTTTTGGCTTCGTTTGTAAATTGCTTCATCTCATCAAGCTCTGAAATGTTGCCAAGCACCAAGTACCCATATCTTCCTGACAAAGCAAAATCTAAAGATCCATAAGAAAATGTGTGTTTTATATTGGGGAAAAATATGTGTTAGAAGCTTCTTGCCCTTCTCAAACTACCCAGTGCAAGGGCTAGGAGAAATGATGGACAAGGAACAGGCCAAGTCGGGCTCTGCTCCCTGGGCAGAGGGCTGCTCACCTTCACATTGGGTGTGTAGAGATTCCGGAGAGAGGCAAGAGCGGCAGACAGCCCCTCGGTGCTATACCCGATCCACAGGGCCTGCAGATGGCTTGAGGAGATTCCAGTCTTCTTACTGAGACCCTGGAAATGACCAGAGACAAAGTCCCCTGAGCATCTCCCTCCCACACAAGGCATCAGTTTGAAAATGCATCTGCTCGAGAAGGTACAGGTATGACGTGAAGGTAGTACAATTCACACAAAGAACACCTGAACCTCCGACTCCTTTGCCTAAAAACAAAGGTCAGGGAATCAGCCTGCCTTTTCCATGGGAAAGTGATGGCAGATACGGATAGTTCCCCTTTATAGAAATAATTTAGAGAGGAAGAATAAATGACAGAATTAGAAAATGACTGCCTGTAACCCCTAATGAATATATGAGCCCAGGCAGTAACCAGAAAGGGTTCATGGCACCACCAAGTAAGAAGCAAGAACAATGGCCACACCTCCTGACACAAGAAACTGACAACTACTAAGTAATCTTGACCAAATGATGGGACACACAGGGGAAAGAAGAATGTGTTAAACTCTACCATGAGAGATAAGCACGCGATCAGAAAATCCAGTGGTACAAAATCACACAGGGCAATGAGCTCAAGTTCTTTGACAAATACATAACAAGGAAACAATGGAGAATGAATGAAGTGGGACATCTGGATGGGAAGAAACTTCAAAAGGGGAATAAGTTAAATTCAACCATAGCATTTAGATGCACACTCAATGCACGTGCAAGGACGTGGCAGTAAGTCAGAAGCACGGCTGCTTTTAGGAAGGAGGGAGGGAGTTTTTGAAACGCAGCTCATGGAATGCTTCTGAGATGGCTCACAAAGCTGTCTAAAATCTCTAAAACCATGAAATGAGAAGAAAGAAACCCTTCCTCCTAACAGAATGTGCCTCACCTTGAAAATGTGCGCCTTTAGGATGTGGTGGCCGAGCTCCATGGTCTGCTGGCGGTTCAGCTTGCCCTCCTGCCGAGAGAACATGAACGCCAGGAGAGCGTGTCCACTCCTAGGACAAGACACACAAAGGCTCAGACAGAAGATCCCATTCCACTGCACTACAAGCCCTCGGGTGGGCATCACCACACACTCCCTGAACTGCCTTCCTCATGACTGTAGTTCTACCACACAAAACGGAGGTTAACTGCTGCCCCTTTACAAAGATGACAAACACTGCTTGCTCTTCCAGTCATTGCAACAGCTTTTTCTGAATTCCCTTATCTCCGTGGAGTGGCTTCCACTGAGGCTCGGGCACAGAGCAGGACTGTTTTTGGAAACAGCCACCTAGTTGGATGAAGTAGGTCCTTGGAGGCATGCCTTTGAAAGGTAGATTTTTCCGCAGTCTTTCTCTCTGCCTCCTGTCTGCCACATTAGGAGTCACCTTCCTTCATCATGATGCTTCTCACCATGATGTTCTGCTCACCATAGACCCAGAAGTAACAGAGCCAAGTTACTATGGAAGGAAACCTCTCAAACCATGAGTCAAAGTAAATCTTTTCTGCTTTAAAAGGTTTATCTCAGGTATTTTGTTACATACGAAACTTCAAAGCTTCTCAAGAAATGACATATAAAAATCCATCCTTAGTAGTATGTTCTTCTATTGATTCTTTCTGCTCTTCTACTTCCTGATAAAGGGTCAGACTGGATTTGGCTCCCAGAGCATAGCCTATGATGCCTTTGACAGCTCCTCATATTTGCAATAGCCTTGTTATACCTATTAATGTCTGGTCCATTCACTGCTCAAGTTAACACATGGGGAAAAGAGCAGTGGGGACTGTTCTAGCCTATGAGTCTTTGCACAAACCTAAAAAGTCAATGGACCCAGGAATTGGACATCAATGAGCTCTAGCATGAGGGGGAGACCCAAAGATACTGTAAGCCTCCTGATATAAATGCTTACCACCACCCATGAATTATCCTTGCCACCCCAAACACTAATTAGGGAACTGAAAATAAAAATGGTGATGAGATATCACCTCACTCCAGTAAGAACAGCTATTACCAAAAAGACAAAAGGGAACGCTTGCGCATGTTGGTGGAATGTAAATTAGTACAACCACTATGGAAAACAGTATAAAGTTTCCTTAAACAATTAAAAATAAAACTACAAATGGAAATAAACAGTTTGTAAATGGGGAAGGGAGGAGGGGGTGAAGGGAGGGCAGGGACAAGGGGAAAAAATGAGAACCAAGACCTGTCATGTGAAGGTACAGGATCCCATTAATGAATGTAACTGTATTGTAGACCTAGACTGTACCAATAAACTCAATTAAAAAAAAAGAAAACTACAATATGATTCAGCAATCCTACTACTGGGTATATATCCAAAGGAAATGAAATCAATATGTCAAAGAGATATATGTAATCCCATATTTAATGCATCATTATCCACAGAAGTTAAGAGATGGGAACAACTGTTCAGCCATAAACAAGGTGAAGCAGTAGTCAGTTTCAACAACATAGATAGAAATGGATATCATTATGTTAAGTAGAAAAATCCAGGCACAGAAAGACAAGTACCATACAATCTTACTAGTATGTGCAATGTAACCAAGTTGAGCTCAGAGAAACTGAGAGTAGTTACCCAGAGGCTGGGAAAGAATGCAGGGGGAGTGGAGGAATGAAGAAAAGGTACTGAGTTACAGTTTGATAGAACCAAGAAGCTCTGGTGTGCTATTCTATGGTAGGGTGACTATAGGTAAGCAGATCCTGTTAAGCATATTTAATAGTCACCATCTCTTAGTGAGAAGACAGGACACTTTTTACAGATAAGGAAGTAAGGCTGTGTGTCCAGGAAAGACATAGAACTGATAGGGCCAAGCTCTGAATTCACATGTGTAAGGCTCCAAGGTATTCCCTATGTGTTTTTATGTTTATAGGTATTCTAGAAATATCTTCGAGGCATAACAAAAGTATAGTAAAGTACCTAGTAATTTATCTACCAGGAGATTTATGCAGCCATGAAAAATAAAAATCATACTTTTCTAAGATTTTCTAACAGCTTGCAAGGGTCCTAGCCTGTGATGTAATAATCAAAAAAGGCCACACACACAACACAATAAAAACAAATACCTTCCTCCCTCCTTTGAAATAGGACAAGATTTCGAAGAGAGAAAAGATGGTTTTTCTAATGCTTAGAATGCTATGAAAAGAGGCAAAAATAAAAAGTGAGGTGTCACTGCCTCTAGATATTGGATTCTCCTCCATCCCTCTCTATAACTGGGACAAAAAGACAAACTATCTGGGTGGAAAGAAAATACTACCACCTTGCAAAACCAAATCTAAACGTCACCAAGTAGTGAAACATTGTCCAGACACAGCTTCCCCCACTGGAGGTTTATACCCCTTTTCTCCAGTCCTACATATGGTAGCTTCCCTTCCTACTAATTTTGTACTAAAATAAAGCATAAAATCATTAACTATATAGTCCCTCTCTGCTCTCCTCATCTACTGTCCTTTGCGGGACCCCTTAAGAAAAAAGCAGGTCCTTATCCTAGGAATCTCTGAATCTATCACAGTGCTCTAAACATAGAGGATCCTCAACAACTGAAGCGAATGCAGATACACCTTTTAAAAATTGTTCTCTGTGTTCCGAAGCTCACACACCAAGGGTTCTTGGGGGACTGTTGGCCCCACAATGCCAGAGTGGGCATCTCCTTGGGTTTTGTGCCCACCCCTCTTGCCTCTACTTGGTTTAGGGTCCACCCCAGGAGACGTCCCCACGTTACACTCAGAAAACAGCAGCAGTAGGAGTGTGCGAATGCTCACACTGCGGTAGTCCCCCCACACTCATCCCGACCCTACACACACTTCATGTCCCGACTGCCCCAAATGAAGCAAAGCTTACTGATGACTGCAGTCAACCACTTCTGCCCCAAATCCTAGCCCTTGATGTCTTTTAATTTGCTTTCATGTCTCAGACACACCGATTGCCTGTCCTTCTAGCAAACCATCTGATTTTCCTGAGAAAAACATTTCACTTCCCTAGCTATGACCCAGCACACATTTTGCCGAGCTGTAACGGTCTGCCTGAATAACCAGGATGTACAGTATAGTGGCTCAAACCAGGTTCAAAGGTTAAGAAGAAACTTTCAGTCCAGCATTACCAAAGAAAAGCACATAAAAGAGCGGCTGGACCTACCAGGTCAATGTTAGGTCAGTGTATGGAGAAGGTGGTTGTGAGACTGCCAAGTGCTGCCTCACCTCGTTGTTTCTAGACCCCAATACCTGATTCAATGTCCACAACAATCCTGAGGGCACAGTCTGGCAGCTTGCCAGCTATGTTATTACAGCACGGGGCAATCCTGACTTAAGACCACAGCTGATCAGGACAGCAGAGATGCAAGCTGAGGCCAAGCACAAAGGGAGAGGTTGCCCCCATGTGAAGGCACAGCATCCTCCATCTCCCAATCTCCTGTCCCAACTAAGACCAGACCACGTAACAGACAGACAGCTAGGCTTGTCTCCCCCATCATCCCGTGGTTTGAGCAGCCCAGGGAGTGGATAGTGGCATACTGGCTTGGCCTGCTTGCAACATTAAACAGAACCACTAACAAATGAAGGCGACCAGATCAGACACAGGGCTCCTGTTCTGGGCTACAGATACTTCTGATCCCTGGACAAGGCATTACATGTTCAAGAGGTAGCAGGAGAATGTCAGTGATGAGGATCCACAATGACCGTAGTCCCACAGGTGAACACCTCTGAAGATGCCCAAGATTCCATGAGGCAGAGGGCACACACTCCGTGACCCTACTGAAGCTGGGATGGGAGTAGACGGGGATCTGCGACTAAATGGACAGCAAGGAAGTGTCACCAAGGCATGGCCCAGCTTCTCTTCAACTCAAATACACTGGTAGCCCTAAATTCTAGCAATCAAAGGAAGGAAGCTTTTGTGTAGAAATACAGACATTTTCCTCTGCCCCTCCTTTTGCCAAAAAGGGCAGGAAACAAAGCAGCATAATTGAATTACTCACTCTTGAGTTACTATTCTGTTAAGAAATGCGCATCATGTTTGAAGCCCCTCTCTCCCCCAAGGGCACAGGATGGCCTTGTGAAGAGTTGGCAGAAGCAGCCTGTCATACCTGGGCTCACAGAGGAAGGCTGTGCTTTCCCCATCTGCTCTCCAGATGAGCCATTCCCTAAAGGACGGGTGGCAGAACATTCGGGTTTTGTCTCGCCTCTTAATGAGGAAGCAGGAGAGGGCATCCATCCTCTGCTGAAAGTCCTCCCAGTCCTGCTCGCCTTGGATGTGGCCAGCATTAATAGCCTGAAAAATCTGCTCATCTGTCATGGGGTGGAGGGACGCAAGAGCCACATTTAAAATCGGCAGTGCTCTCTCAAAGGCAGACTGGGTCATGAACTTCATGTTGCACTGCAGCAGGTAGAGCTCGGACAGGGACACAGGCACCACTTTGTAGCTGGCGCTTTTGATGACCAGATGTCCCCTCTCAAAGAGGTCCAGGGTCAGTTTGAGGTACAGGTAGGAGCCAAGGCTCCGCAGCACCAGGTGGCTGCTGACCTTCCCAATGAGGACGGCGTCGGCCTTGCCATTCAAGGAAATGTTGCTGAGGATGTCCTGGCTGCTCTGGACCCTGTGCTGGACATAAGCATGCAGGTCGCTGTGAATGTCTTTGTTGTCTGAAAAGTCATCTAGGGAAAGCTTGACAAATGGCAGCTTGCTTACGATTTCCTGCAGAAAATACAAAACCCCACAATGTCAGTCTGCAGAGATTCCTTCTTTATTTTAGCAGCATTTTAAGCCAAGTTCGCTAGTTTTCTTTCAAAGAGGATTTTCATGGCTTACAGGGACTCATTGTTTTGTATTAAAACGTGTAATAGGATAAGGTACAGATAAAAAGCTTATGTGAAAGAAATCCTGGGGCGAGATAGAATCAGTAAGGCTTTCCCAAAGCCCACATCGGGGGCTCAGATCCAGGCAAGCAGAGTTGAGGGCCTTGAACAGATAGTGGCATCCAGGCCACCACCAGTAGAGGGACAGCAAGACCCTGCAGGTGACCTGATACCCATAATCCTCACACTGTGCAACTGGTTTATATAACTAGGATGAATGCAAACCAGCACTGCACATCTAAGAGCACAGCCAGATGCTGAGATAAGGGCCATGCCTCTCTGTACATCAGAGCCTGGGCAGTGTAATCCAACCGGGGAGTCTGGGCCCACCCCCAGGCTTTATCCCTGGACATCCTGTGGTCAAACAGCTGCCTGCTCTGATGCAGCACATTACCATCTTTTAAAGTGAATTTAAAGTAAGCTTTTAAATGGGAATATGTATAAATACATCAATGTACAAACCACGATTGCAGTGTCATTAATTTCACAAAGACAAATATACCTGTGTAGTCAGAAGCCAAAAGCAACATCGGTTCCCAGAAGCCTGTGTCCCCACTCTGGTCTATCCCTCATTTCAATGATACGCACAATCCTAACGCTTCGTAGCAAGAGCACTTCAGACTTTTTTTAAACTTCCCATTAGCAGTTGTGAAGTATTAAAGTACATGTCCCTCTTTAACTGAAGGAAGAGGGCAGAGTACAATCATTTCCATTTTACATGGATGCTAACTGAACCTCTAAATACTCGGCCAGGAGGTAAAACAAGACCCTATTTCTATGCTCCACTGAAATGCTTATGAATCAAATGTCCATAAAAATCAACACCAAATTCAAGTGACGTCTAATCCCAATGTTAGAGAGAAAAAATTAACAAACAACAACAAACCTTAGATGCTATTTTTAAATAGATGCCATCATAAAGGGCAAAAATCAAAATATAATGTCTAAATGTCTTTATTGAAAAAGGACAGGCACAGATTTAATGGTTAAGATATAATTTTAGGGTTCAAATGAAGGGAAAGCTGGAGAAACAAAAAAAATTAGTCTTCACCTCATTCCAAGTTGAAATTTAATGAAAAAGCAGATAGACTCAAAACAAGGCTTAAAATCTCTATCATCCCTCACTTTTCCCTCAAAGGAAGCCATAGGGCTAGGGAGCAACTCAATGGTAAAGCATGCACTCAACATGTATGAAGGCCTGGGTTCGAATCCCACTACAGCAAAATAAGAACAGAAACAGTCCCACAAAGACACCCCACTGCCAGCTACACACTCTGAACTATGGTAAACAGGGCAAGACTCTACTATCTGAGAAGTGCAGGTACAACTCTATGCAGAAAGGATGTACCTGACATCTCAGATGTGCCAGGCAGCCTGCAAAGATAGGAGTTTTGCCTATGTGAAGTGTTCTAATTTTACAAAATTCTGACAGTTTTTGATTCAGCAGTGAAATAGTTTACAACAGTTGATTAGTATTTATCATTGTAAAATTGCCACATGGGGAGTTGGAAAGGGATTTGAGAATTCTTTTGTTACCTGAAAATTTGCTCTTACAGTCACAATCAACTTCAACCAGGCAGGAAACTTAGAAATAATTTTGGTAATAAATGAAGAAAGTGTATCTCCATAATCAGGTTTATGAAACTCAGCTTCATTTAAACCATCTATCAAAATAATGTATTCTTCATCAGGAATTTTCTGCTCTGGAGGAGAAAATTTTTCATATTAAGAATTTATACATTTCTATATGATGGCACCATCCAGTATATTTTAATGCACAGTTTAAAAGTGTTAGCACAAACTACGAAGGTCTACATATGGCGGAAGATGTAGTTTTCACAGAAGCATATTTTCTATTAAATTTATAATGAAAACCAGAGCACAGAGCCAAAAGAAAACCAATTCTCACAAATTGTTTTCAAAAACATGTTGCATTACACACATTAGCAGAATCTCAATCAGGTATGTAATACAGTTAGCTCCTCATAAACCCGTCACTAGGGTGGCCTACGGCAAAGACAATTAACACAGAGACCAAATCTGGGAAAGATACTAGGTCCCCATTAGAATTCCTCAGTGGACTCCAAGCAAGGAAAACTGAGCCCCATGTCCCAAGAGCTAACTGTCTGGTCCAAGGGATACAGTGTTGAAAGTTTTGCCTTACAGACTCCTAGAGACTAAGTCCAATTTTTTAAGTGCCAGATTTCTGCCCAAGGAACAGAAAAACAATGAAATCTGTTTCAATCCCTCTCTCTAGCACCTTCTGGCAGAAATGCTACATAGGCAAGTGAAGTAGCACAAAAGGTGAGGAGGAAGGAGGCAAACCTGAAAAACCCTTGATGTCATTAACACACTCCACCTTCTAGAACATCTGGGAGCAAAAATATCAAACAGAAACCTCTAGAAATGGCTTTAGATTTCAATTTAGCCAAGCAGGGCCTCTGAAAATAAACACATTAGAAAATTCCCTCAAGCAATCCACTTACTGCCCTGTGATCAGCAATACAAAATATGTAGGCAATAGTTTTCAAGGTGCAAGTCATCTAAATAGCTTACAGTTATATGGGAGCCTAGAATATGCCCCTCCAAAATATGAAGCAGATCATAAATTTGTAAAGATGCCCTCTACCCATCTCCACCAGGAAAGACAGAAGTTAATCCCTAGAATCAAGTGTACAGACCCGTATCAGCTGCATATGGCACCAGAGAAATATACTTAGCAAACCTAATTAACCAGCCCCAATCGGCCTTAGTTTTCCCTGATATTTACCTTCCCACAGTTTCTCACATCTAGAAACCTAAAACTGCTTTCCTTGTCTTCTCACTTCTCACTTACTGTTCTTGCTGTGGATCTTATAGACTTTTAAAGGTCCTGTGTTGAATTACCTTTCATTGAATTTTCTCCTGCAGGGTACGTGCATGTTAATAAACTCACATGTTTTCTACTATCAGTTCATTTCACAGACTAAAATATCAAGTCTTACAGGGTAGAAGGTTTCTGCTCCCCAACAGTTACCAACTGGCTTTTGCGAAAACTCAATTGTATGGCTTTTTCTTTTTAGAGATTTTTTTTGGAAGCTATACCACTGGGGAGAAAGGGAGAAGGCTCAGTGGTAGAGCATATGCCTAGTATGGGCGGGGCCCTGGGTTCAATCCCCAGAACTACTAAGAAAATAATAAAAAGCCATGAAAACTACCACTGAGGGGCATGGAAGGACCTTGGGAGACAGTTCTGCAGAGGAAACCAGATGTATGATGAATCAACTACATTTTCTCCCTGCCAGCCCAGGGCTGAGCTGACCACCCTCCTTCTGAAGACCACCAGGCATCCTATGCTGCTAGTAGGGAGAGGGCTCCAGGACTGCTGGGAGATACCATTTCTCAGGTTTGTGAGTGGCTCCAGCACTCCCCTCTTGAAAGCAACCACAGGGTCCTGCACACAGGAGCGGAGGCTCAGCATGCTCTGCAGCTGGGGTTCCTTGATCAGCAGGTCTCTGTAAGCGGCCAGTTGGTGGGACCGGCAGAGCAAAGCTGCGATGCTGTGCACAAACTCGGGTACCAGGCACGTGTATGTGTTGTCAGCCTGGCAGTAATGGTAGGCTACCACCTAGGAGAGAAGCACAGCCATCAGTGTCACCACTCTTTCCACACAGTTCCTTCCACAACCTCGAAAAAGAATGCAACTCTGCTCTGCAACAGGTTAACAACATACACTACTTCTGTTTCCCAAGACTGAGGTGTTGATTAGCTTAATTGATTCACTCATTCTTTCCTTTATTTGTGTGGTTTGCTAAGTTCCCAGAACATTAATTATAACCACAAATCTATCTTGATTGGCAAAAAAAAAAAAAAAAAAATAGCACAACTTACTCTGTGGTGAAAATGAGAGTAAAAGTTATTGATAAAATCCAAAGCCTAGCATGGCTGAGAGCAATTCCAGGCAAACCTCTATCCTCAACAGTGCCATTTGCACTGCATTTCTGCCCTCAGGAACAGCAGCACTTCTTCAGGGAGACCCCTGCTGACCCAACAAAGCAGCCAATCAAGTTAGTGGCTATGAAACTCAGATGCAAAGCCATAGCTGCTGATTCCTTCTGGGAAGAAAGGTTCAAGTTCTCAGCCCCTCTCCACACACACACTTCTTCAAAGGACCTGGAGAAGTTCAATGTGGACACTGAAATAGGAAACTCAGAAATGACTGAATTTCTGCTTGCCCTGTGAAGGGGCACATGGAGGAGAGGGGGGAGTTGCCCAAGTAGACAGGACAAGGCGCAGTCCCTTTGTTACAGGGATTTGCTGTGGCAGCAGGTTCTTTGTTAGAAATCTCAGAGGCAGAGCTCTGAAGAATAGGAGGCACACTGTAGGGAAATAAAACATCCACTTGTGTGACGCACTCTGTGTTTTTGTACAAGGGTCTGAGTCACCATCGTCCCACTCAGTTCTGCAGCCCCCTGCAGTAAGGACCAGAGCCACTCACTGCACTGCATAGCTGAGGGCAACAGATGCAGCGATAAATGCCCTGCCTTGGTGACAAAGACAGTCAAAGATCTCAGATGAGAGCCTCGGGCTGTAGACACTGAGAAAGCAAGGGGCTAGAGCAGACGTGGAGAGGCTTTTCTCAGGCCAACTTGGAGCCAACGTGTGACTGTGGTTTAGACTGAATTTATCATCACACTCAGGAAAGCTGAGTGCTCTTCATTTCTCATCTGGACAAAGATTAGCAGAAACATACGTGAGGACCACAGGAGCTTGTTGTGCAAACCACCATGGGACATCTGGTATCACTGTTTTGCACAGCATTTGACAAAAGTAGCTTGGCAATGCAACAAAAGGCTATGAAATTAATTTGAAGCCACAAATATCTTTTTTTTTTTAAATGAAGTAAATTTAACTTAAAAGAACATATTATAGGGTTTAAGAATAAGGTAGTTTGAGTGATGTTTTTGCAGGCAAGAGTACTCAATCTCTAGTGTAAGTCATACTTAGTGTGGGTAACAATCAAAAAGCATTGAAAAATCAGCGTCACGGGGTAACTGAGGACTGCACCACGTCCTCCTCTCAGATCACCTGTTCATAACTAGTTAGCGCATCAGAGCTGGCCCTGCCAAAAGCAGCTCTTCACTGTGAAGGAGCCAGGGACCTTGGGCTGAGCAGCATTTGTTTCAGCTCCCCTGGACCAACTGCGGGGAAGGTGTCATAAGATGCCCCTCATCACTGCCATCTCTGGTAATTCTCCAGCTCTAGCTCACACAACTGCTCGCAACTGAGACTCAAGTGATCACAAGGGCAAGAAATGTAACCACTTGAATCGCAGGAGGCAGCTTATGAACCAATGATGGGATCAGAGCAGAAGAAAAATTTCAGAAGGTCTTGATGACCATGCACTTAGGAAGGGGAAGTAGGCCAAGTCTCTTTTGCGACTTTCACAGAAAAACTTCTGGTAGGACAGAGGAAATCAAAGGTCCCAGGCAACAAACAACATAGGCAGTAGCAGATCTGCCAAGGTCAAGGACAAAGCTCCCAATCTTCTGCTTCCATACCAAATTAATCAGAGCATGTGCTTTTAAGGATGGGTTCATGATTCCTTCTGCTGCTTTGAGGAACTCTTTCAATCTGCTATTTCAGACAGGTAAGTGTCCCCTGCCAATGTCTTTATATATTTACTTTCACTAGTATCTTTTCTTTCTTTTTGGCACTGGGGATCAAACTCAGAGCCTTTTGCTTGCGAGGCAGGCGTGGTGTCATTGAGTTAAATCCCTGGCCCACTAATACCTTTTCTTTGGAATACTCTATCACAATTTTATCAAGAGCTATACTTTAGCACCAAGGATTTATTTTAACATCCTTTTTCTAATTCCCTTCTCAGAAACCAAGCTAACAAATGTCCATCTGGAAGGCGCCCATAATAAAAGCAAATTACCTTAGAAGCAAGGTATTTTACTGCATCCTCTCTTGGTCTCTGGTTTTCAGGAGTACCAGACGTACAAGAGGTTTTAACTATCTTGTGACCACTTGTGGAAGAACTCAGTGAAAGCAGTGGAGTGAAAGGAAGATCCTGGGTGGAATCTGATGCTAGAGAAGAGATTCACCTCATTATAACATCAGCATATGGGATGACAGGATATGGAATACATTTCTTGAATAGATTATGAATAAATACGACCCAAGATGAGAGATCCAAATGAGCACATCAACCTCACACCCATCTCTATTCACTCAGTCTCCCTCCCTGGAGATCTGCTGTTTTCTTCTTTCTACCCACCCGCTCTCACTCCTTCTCTCCATCCCTCCTTCCCTCCCTGCCTTACTTCATTTATTTGAGACCAAGTCTCCTATGTTGCCCAGTCTGGTCTCAAGATGTTTGAGCTCAAATGATCCTCTTGCTTCAGCCTCTCAAATAGCTCGGACCACAGGCAACCACTTCCAGCTTCAGTTTCCTTTATTAAATTGCTTGGTTTTGTTTTTTTAAATCTTGCCATGCTCCCTAGTTCTTGTTCACCATATTTAAAGAAACTTTCTATAATGAGCTTATTCCATATAAAATAAGCAGTGAACTGTCAAATATTTGGCTACTCTATCTCATGTCTTACTTTGTAATTTTCATAAATCTAAGAAACAAAGTCTATGGAGAGATACAAAAAAAAATTCTGCATAGAAAAAAATAGAGAAAAGAAAACAAGAAACAAAAATGAAAAACAGAATTCTGCATTAGACTCCATCTGGTTTATTCTGCCAGAAGCCTATTTGCTTGGCTTTAGGGCCCCAAGTTCTTAAGAACACTATTCAGGCCTCCCTAACCCATCTCTGCCTCAAAGAGGGAAACAGAGTTCCAGGTCAGGAGAGTATCAGGGAATGCTGGCCTTTCCCCATGTGGTAGCCAAGTACGCATGATTTCAGATGGAGGTATTCAGATGGCTCACGTAACATATGACTTCAAACTTTACAGCAGCTGGAACTTAAGGGAAACCTTTTACATCTACCCAAACAACAATTTCCTTCATGTACCTTATATTATTAAGTTAGATAAGTAATTAAACATGGACCTACTTTTAGGTGATGAACTGGGGCTGTTGGAAGCAATCTGTCTCATGCGGCTTCCATGGCAGCTCAGTGCCACCAACTTGGAAATGATTGCTGTCTTCCCAAATCCCACATTTCCAACAACAACTGCTCCTCTATTCTCTGGAAGTTCTGTGTTCCTCAAGTTTTCTTCTATTTGGTGAAAGAGCCAGTCCCTCCCCACAAATACAGAGTCTGTTGTGATGCTTGGAACTTCAAAAAGCAAGGGTTTCAACAAAATGTCTTGTGGCTTGTAGGGAGCAAATCGTGCTTTAAAAAAAAAATCATTTTAGAAGAACATCAATTTTATACACTAAGAAACTCAATATATCACTGCTTGTTGTCTTTTAAACATTTTAAATCTGATTCTATTATTAGTCCCACAATTCCTAATTTATCATACTCTACTGGTCCCATACAGTGCATCATTAAAATGACTTAAGTGTTTTCATGCCTTTGAGCTATTCTCATGACCAAAGCAGACAGAAGGAGAAAGCAAGGCAAGGGGATAAATCACATCTCATTGGTTTCACTGTGACTACTGTACTGTCCAGTACAGGTAGATGTAGGAAGCAGCTAACACAGTGCAAAGAACTGAAACAGAACTGATTCTGTTAGCAAGAACTCGAGAGAATGCAAAACTACTCCATACTTCGAAATAAACTGCACAAATACCTTCTAACACCAGATTCGATTTAATCATACATTTTAAGGAGGAAGCCCAAAACTTTTAAGGAGGCCACCTAGAATACCTTATGGATTCATTTTTAACACACACACACACACACACACACACACACACACACACACATCACGTTTTTCAAGCAGTTGGTTTCCGTGTGAGTTATCAGAGACTTTCAATGTTTAGTGAATGAGCTCCTCATATCCACTGTGACACTGGATGCAAGGATAAATACCTTTAACTTCCTGCGCCCTACCTCCAGCTGTGTTGTGCCATGGTAATCTAATTGATGTCCGGAGAGGAACATTTCTCTGCCCATCTAAATAACTCAGGTCTTCCAATTTAGTAGAGCTTGTTGCTGTAATATTAAATAGAAGTTTGGTTTAATATTGAGTTTAACGTCACAGCTAAACTACTGCAAGTTATAAATTACTAAGCAATACAGTTCTGGCTCTTAACAAAATTTATTTGAAGACATTTGTTTGGTCCCACTTTACTATTTTCCATCAATTCTGTTAATTGAAAAGTGGTAAAAAATCAAGCGTTACTCATTCTTAAATCAAAGTTATATTGATATAGTTGTCAGAATTCATTATTCCAGGAAAGAGACAGACTTCACTATAAAATTATTTATGAAGAAATTTCACAATCAAGCATCACACAGTAAAGCTTCAGCACTTGCTGAAAATATGTGGTATGGTACTAGACTCTTCCCTACATCACTGATATGCTTTCTGCTGTTTTGAATTCCAGCCTTGTTAATTAAGTAGATTCTGCATGCACAATTTAGAATACTAAAAGTTCTCAGGAGTAAAAGCATAAACACTTTAAGTTTCAAATATATATAGATACATATTAATATATGATATATTGTATTATATATAACATACAATGCATATAATGTATATTACATATTATATTATATTGTATTGTTTTATATATATATATATATTATACAAGAATTTGTATATATTTTTTTAAATTCTAGAAATAAGTAATCACATTTACTTCTGACCAAATCACTAAGGTTTATAGTATACAGGTACCCATTAAAAAACATTAGGGAGCCTGAGGACCCCTTTGGGGTGTTCATTTCTTTGAAAATAAAGTGGATGAAACAAAACAAAACAACAACAACAAAAAACTCATTAGGGACACCAATGCATATACCCCAGTTGGATGAACTATAAAAATAACCAATATGAAAACATTTTGCAAATTCTCAGCAAATCTTAAAGACAAATGTTACATGTTTTTGCCTTAAACAATCAAAAGCCCTTATATATGTCCTAAGTCAAAAGAGATAGATTTAAATAAAATATAATTTGACTCACAGATTAAATGGTCCAACATAAGTCCTGCCAATCTTAGATGTATGATTATCTTCCAAGATAATAAAATATACATATCATTTAAGGGCAAATGAGGAGCCTAGAGGGAGTTGCACCCCAAGAGCTAATTGACACTGACGAAGGCATTTGTGGAACCAGGATGCAAGGGACTGAAAAAGTCAAGGTGGGCCATCTGTCTTCTGGAAACCCTCCTGCTACCTCCACAGGCTCTGACCCACTGTCCAGCTACTCCCCAAAGCTCTCTTCCCTGTACCCTTACTACTTCCGCTCCTCTAGTTTCATTATCCATGCCACTCCCTCTCATTCTGTCATTTGACAAGAACTGGGGAGACTCTGTACCTGACTTGGGGGTGCCTTATTTCCCTCTTGCTGCATCCTGTAAGGACAAGCACGGTCCCCATGTGCTCACCTACTTAACTAGCAGAGAAACATCTGAAACCTTGCCTATGTAACAGCATCAGACTATGCTTTTGAATCTTTTTAGTGTGTATCTACAGCCTAGTCATTCACTGTGTATGTATGTAAATAAATACTCCGCACATAAGCCAGGGACCACACAAATCTCTCCCATTAGAAAGAGTGACCTAATTCCTTATGCAGGACTTCCAAATAGATCTAAGGTAGAGTAATCCAATGGCAGCTTCCAGCTTTTCTCCAGGTCCTTCATAACCAGGGTGTGTGAAACTTTGCGGAGGGACAGCAGGACCACCCTACTCCTTTAGGCCCCCATCTCTCCAGGCTCCCTATGGGAACACAGTTTAGAACATATTTCTGAGCTTCTGCCTCAGACCTGGGACTCTGACCCACCAGCTTGACACACACACCTTGGGGGTGAATGCAGCCACTGTGGCTCACAGAGGAGACCATCACAGTTATCACCCACAACTCACCAAAGAGCCAGAGCAGCCATGAATATTCTATGTGCTGCTTCAGCCCTAGACAGTACAAAGATGCTTAGAGCCTCAAAAGGGTTTCCTGTTTCCCCTCTTTCCTTGACTTCTTAGAACACAACATTCAGTTTGAAATTCTGCAGCAACTAAAGCATTAAAAATATGCAACTATAGAGGACATTCCAAACAACGAATTGCAAAGTAGCACTACTTTGACACGGATGCAGGAGGTGGTGAGATTTCAGGTGTTTGTTTTCGGATTTCCTACCCCAGAGCATCAGTTCCAAAACAAGCAATAAATCAGCTTCAGCAACTCCACTTGAGCAACTCACACTTCAAATGTGATTAAGCAGGACTTCAAGTGACCAGCTGCAAGCAGCCACCCCTGCTTTCCAAGTAAGGTATTTTTGGAGTCACACACAGACATCTGAGAGCAGATTCAGTGAAGCTTCAGCCACTCAGCTATGTGCCCAGTGCTCCCCCTCTAGCAGAGCAATTGGCTTGGATCCTTCCACCTTCTCATGCACACTTATGGTAGAGTCTCAGATGCTACTAGATTTACATTAGTATTAACAACAAACACCCTCAAAGTCCTAAAAGCTATTCAGGGGCAGGAAAAATCAGAGGCAAAGCAATAATTTCCTGCTGTAGTAAACCTACTGCTAACATCTATACAACAAAATCAATTACACACTTACTGTGCATGTGGACGCACACACTGCGTCTAATGCCTGGTGCAAAGCACATTTCAAAATGCTGTGGGAAAAAGTTGTTTTATGGGGAAGCAGGGACAAGGAAGATACCTCCTGAAGCTGAACCAAAGAGCAAAAATGTACTAAAACCGTAGGTTGTGGACTAACCTATCAAAGGCAAATGCCAGTGAGTCAGAGCAATTACCAGTTAGTGTTTCAAGAAAACTGGAACTCAACTGGTAATTGTGTTTGCTGGTTTCCTAGAAAATTAAACACAGTGTTCTGTGATCTGCTCAGAAAATATTTCAAAAGGAAAAAAATAGTAAAAAATAGTAGAACCTACTGCCCAACTTCTACATTATCTGATATAATTTTAAAGGCTCCACATCCTATTATTTAACAAAAATGTGTCCATGTCCTATGTTTTGATGTGATATACAGCATTTCAAATCAATCCACTTTAATAAACACCTTGACGAAGAACATCTCTGTGTAACGCAATCTTTAAACCTAATCAACTTACTTTTACAATCTTAGACCAAAAAAAATGGGCTACACAGTTAACAAGTAGCCGGGCTGGGGATTTAGCTCAGAGGTTCCGTCGCCTGCCTCTCAAGCACAAGGTCCCGAGTTCGATCCCTGGTACCAAATAAACAAACAAACAAGTAGCTGCAGTTCTTTGTAACCGGTTCAGTAATGGTAAGGAAAAAAAAAAAAATGACAGAAAAGGCTGGAAGTCTTATGAAGTAGGGCTGGGTCCCACTGGGGTGAGGTGCAGTGAACAGAGACCTGGTATCCATTCCCCTATGTACCAAAATGCCTTTCCTTACCAAACAGCAATCTATTTATGTTTATGTGGATCTTACATGCAAATTCTTCCAAGAGATTTCAGCGTTTGATCCTCCATTTTATTCCAATCTATCTAACATTCAGTGTTCACTGTTTGTAGCAGCCTGCCCTCTAATCACTAAACAAATAGTGCTGCATATAGTCGCTATCAGTGGTGGTAAACCTCGGGCTCACGTGCACAGCGGCTGTTTGTTATCACTGAAAGCTCTAAATGGCTCACCATCACCGCTCTATACAATGGAAATTTATTCTTTTCCATGAAACTTGAAACATCTTGCGATTCCTTCTCAACTGAGGTTCATGCAGCTTTAGGGGTAGGACAGTGGGCAACAAGGAATCTATCAGACTCCGAGCTTGTTAATAGATACTATATATCTATTTCCTTTCAAAATACTCATTTAGTTTTGAAAATATGCAATAGAAGAAGAAAAATCCATTATGTCAGACAGCCCATGCTCAAGCCCAGAGGCAAACCCCTCCCATTCCACAGGAAGTCTAGCTCAAGGGCATACATGGTGCTAACAAATAAGCACAGCGGAAATGGGAAAGCTCTGCTCTATAATTCCGCAGTCTCCTGGAAAAGCTCAGCTCACACCCACTGTCACTTCACATGGCAGGAGACCACATAAAAGAGCATCCAACAGAAAACATGATGCCAATGGGGCACTTCTAACACTGCTAAAATTAACATATTAACATGTTCACTAATTTTAAAAAGGACTGATTAAATTGAATGCAAGTTAGCCATTTTGTTGGAAAAATAAAGCTGTCAAATTCGAGAGTAGCACCAGTGACCCCACTCATCATTACTAGGTAAGTATGACTGAAAACACCTTGGGTGCAAAATATGTCAAAGGGATGGGAGCTAGAGGACACAAAAGCTTTTGGAAGAATCATCAGTCACTACAGTTAATGCTCTCTAGTAGTTCTCTCTGGCAGACATGCCAAATCCCTCTTCTGGAACAAGGCCATTCTGCTTCCTTTGAAAGTGAATTAGAGTTGTGCCTCACAACTTTTCCAGTACAGCCATTTATTTACCAGCTGCTTAAGAGTTCTATCGTAAAAAACACCCAACAACAGCTAGAATGACCTAGCATACCCCAAAGGAGCTGTATAAATTACAGAAAACTCCTTTGATGTAGGGAGAGAATATTGGTCTGCACATTAGAAGGGCACACAAAACGTACTACACTGTTAACAAAGAATTACCATAACAAGTTCTCTTCTAAATTCAGCCCAAAAGTTTGGAGCGTAGAAATACGAGGCCTTCAAAAACAGGCACAAAGGCTTCGAGGTAAAACATCTCTACCCACCCTCCACAGACAACACTTCTTGCTGTTAACCAGTCCAATCACCAACCCATTCTGTCCTTTGTGTTCTCCTCCAGCTGCTACATCTCGCTCTCACTTGAGCTGCATATGATTCAAACTGTGAGCTCCATTACAACTGAATTAGACAGAAAACATCTAACCTCCCCGTCTATATGACAGGCTTCAGTCACACAAAAGCAAAAGTTTAATCAACAACTTCACTCTAAGCAATTCCAGTTTACCAAGATACCATAAAAAGCCACAAATTTACTCAAGGTTAAAATAACACCAAAGGACACTGTTTGTGCTTTCTTCCTTTAAATCCAAAGAGGCAAATAGTCCAAGTCATAGATTTCAAAGAATTCCAAGGCAAAGAGGTCACTTAAAGACCATTAAGAACAGTCCTTTGCACAGTCCTTTGGATACACTGAAGCATAGGAAAGGTAAATGCCTGGCCAAGATCAAGGGCTGGCTGGTGTCCTCTGGATTAGAGACCCATGTGAAGACAGTGGACAGGGCCCTTCAGACTCAGCGAGGTAACCCTTCCCAAGAGAGAGGCGGGGTCTTACCTGCAACTGAGTTGGGCCGTGGCATTATTAGCGAGCTGGAGCTCTGAGAATAAGGGACCGGACCATCTCCAGCTGAGGACTCCGCTTTGGGCAGCTCGCTTTCCGCTGGCCCAGTGGTCTCCTCCTCTGCCACTGGGGAGCAGTTATCTGCCCTTCGATCATGAAGTACTCCCTTCTGAATCCCTAACCTCAGGCTTCCATCTTTATTCCATTCCAAACTGGAGCCACTCCGGTCATCATTTTCGGATGAACTTGTAATTGTGGCTGAAATGAGAGATCAAAATATTTTTTTGAAGGACACCAGGCATAGCCTGGGCTGCTGGAGAGTTAACACACATACAGTGCCCTCACTAGGATCAATGCAAAGTTTTCCAGCCCACACAGATTTTTACCAAAGTATGTTTCATACAATGTGTTTTGGTAAATTAAAGAGAAATGTTGCTTATCAGGGGAAATAAACTGCTAAATCACTCTACAGGAAAGGAAAAAAAAAACCCTTTCTGATAGGAAGATAATGAAAAAGCTGTCTAAAAGTACTTGAGACTTAGCACCCTATCTACGCAACTGGGAGATAAGGTCTTTAACCAAGATAAGTTGTTCATATCTCATTAAATTCCTTTAAATCTTAACCAAATGAACATTTGTTTGGGGGAGGCGGCAGGGAACACACAGTTAACACAGAAAAGATGCAAAAGGAAATCTGTAGAAACAAAAATGTAAAGGCAGGCAGAGAATCTGATCCTTAAAATTATTACAGTATCTATTCAGAGTGACCCAGACAGACTGACCCAACTTGCTCCTTTAGCAGCACAAAATGGAGACTCACTCCTTGACCAGCACAGGAAAGTATGCTATGGTGTAGAAAACTTAACCTCTAAGGAAAAAAAATGAGCCCAGAAAAATAATATTACAGAAAAAAACCTTTTATAAACATCTTGGCAAGAGAGCAGAGGAATGCGATAAAAGAAGTGATACTCACCCTACATAGCTTCTACAAACAGCCACTCAATTTACATTCGCTGAGCTGGATGGGATCCCCTGCAAACACAGGTCACGGGGCCAGTTACACTGCCTCACTGGTGACCCAACACTAGCTCATGTCTCTATCTTGATCCCAGCAGCCCAGGCCTCTGACTGTGAGCCTAGTAAATGGGAATGCACCAGGCCAACAAAGCCAGCTGCCTGGAGCGAGCAGCTTCATCCACATGACATAAAGAGCCACACTGTATCAGAACGGGGGTGAATTAGCTCAAATATAGCCAGTTATTTAGGATCAAAGGGTCTGAACAGGTTTGGTTTCATTTTTACAACATTAAGATTTATAAGTAAAGACAAAACAATTTCCTTGTTGTGACCACAGGACATCCTGCCACAATTCTAAGAACTGTCCTTGCTTCCAGAGCCTGGACTTAGGCCCCTCTGGTTGCCTCCCTATTTAAAAACCCCACTTACATGGGGAAGACTCTATAGAGAATGGCAGGCTGCTCTTTTCTTTCTCTAGACAGCCACTGTGCCTGGCACATACCAAGTCCTTGATAAATGTTTGCTTATTGAATTAAAGAGCAAATGAGTGAACTTTAGCTCCACTTACACAGCTACTATACATCTATAAGCTCACTTTTACTGGTTTAAGATGGTTGACATTATGTCTCTAACAGATGTACAGTATAAGCCAATCTGGAACGACTTGGGGTCAGTCTCACCTTGTGGTTGCTGGTCATTATTATTCTAGCATTTCTAAATAGTCTAGTAGCAATGAGCCATACCTCCATCTCTTTGGGATCAATCACTGCTTTTAACTGTGTTTTCAAATGGACCATTTATATGAACCTAAGTATAGCAAATATAACACCATCATAACAATGTCAGTGGTGGTGGCAGTGGCAGGATAGCAGCAACCAACATTTACTGAAGGTTCAATATATGGCAGAGACTAAGCTAATGCTTTATAGAAATGGTTTATTGATGATTTTGCTTATTTACACTAATTAATTATTAATGGTAACTGTTAATAAGCTGGAATCATAAAAACATTAGACAGTTCTATAATACAGATTGCTTTTCTGAGATATACTGTAAAAAGTTAGATTCCCAGGCTACCTCAACATCTGACGGAGAAAAGTTCCACACTGGGGGTGGGGATGATTTACTTAGTTTTATTGTTGTGGCTGTTTCATTTGAGGGTAGTTGGAAAATAGAAATATGACTAAGTAGCTGGGAATGGTGGCACATGCCTGTAATCCCAGCACTCTGGAAGGCTGAGGCAGGAGAATCACAAGCTCCATGTCAGACTGGGCAACTTAGTGAGACCTGTCTCAAAATAAAAATGGGGAAGGGGAGCTGTGGATATAGTTCAGTGCAGGCCTTAGGTTCAACCCCAGATAGCGCTCAGAAGAAAAGAGGGGGTAAGAAGGGACAGAGGAAAGGAGGGAGTAGGTAGAGAAGAAAAATGTCTGAATTTGTCCTCTTCCTTTGCTCTCCGTAAGTGCCATGCACTTTTAAATTAAAGCCACAAGGATTTGAGTCTTAATTAGGAAACAGGGGCTTGGACTACCTGACTTCCTATTACAATGGATAATACTCACAGTAGGACTTGCAGCCTCAGGGCCCCAGGAAGCAGCTGCACACAGCTCAGGGAAAGCCCGGAGTGCAGGACAAGCTGAAAGTCCCTTTCTTACCCTCTACGTGGTACCAGAGATCTGGTGGGTGGAAATACTCGAGCCCGGGCAGTGAGAGGAAGGAAAGTGGGTGGGGGAGAAATCCTAGCTACAGGAATAGTGGCTGGAAAGAGAATTCCCAGATGGGGCAGCCACTTCAAAGGGACGGTATCACAAGGTCAGTGTTTAGCAGTGGGAAGCTCTAATGAGGAAGAAGAGCAGCCCTCCCACTGCCTTTAGGAAGCAAATGTGAGAGAGGCAGCCCGTGACCATTCATCCGTACTGAGAGGCAGGGAGGTGTGAGGCCCAGTAGCCCCAGGTCTTCCCACAGAGAAGCCCCACTGAGAACGACCCACGCCACAAACACCCTCCCCTGGGATTCAGTACCAGATCTAGCTCACACAGCTGGAAGCTCAACGTTGACAAAGACAGATGTGTTCCTTTTCCTGCTAACCTAAGAAGACACCAAATAGGGCAGCTCCACAGGTACTGAGAGAGAAGCTGGTTCTCCCGATAAGCTCCTCAAAAATACCTATTTTTCTTCCATACTAACAGAAACTCAAACTCATACTTAGGTTAACGCAATCACTTTCAAGAACATGTATGACACGCATGCATCTTCTCTATGATGGCAATATGTTATCTATAATGACAAAAAAAGACCCTCTAAAAAGTAAGCGCTACTTAACATTTTCCAAATTCTGGACAACACTTAAAATTCCCTAACAACTAAAAAATTCCAACATTTTATTCACTTGAGGGCTTGTCATCATGACCCAACCCCCTTCCATCATGCGGGACTCTGCAATATGAGGATTTGTGACTACTTAGGTTTCACCAAGCTTCAGGTTAAACTGTGCATCACAGTATGCCGTTAAACTGGGCCTGGTACTCTTGTTGACTCACACACACTATCTTTGTATAGTCTGAAAGTTCCTTTAGCTTAGTGACTGTAGTGACAGCACACTTAACCAGACTTGTTAATACACAAGGCTGCAGAACTTCCAAAGCACCTTCTTAGGACGTCAGGGCACAGAAATGATCACAAGGGAGAAGAGGTAGCCAAGCTAGGAACCAACCATCCCACTTTATAGATAGGAAACTGACCGCACGTGGTCAGTGGTGTATCCAACACCAGTCCACACTGCATGTACAGTGCATTTTTGAAGCACCCTTTGCTTGCACCGGTACAACACATAAAAAGGCTCTGTAGTATCTGCAGGGAAAAACAGTGTGTGCACATGAAGATCTTATTATCTAGAATATACAAAGAACTTAAAACAACCAGCCCCTCCCCCAAATATAAAGACTCAATTCAAAAATGGGCATCTGAAATGAACAGACATTTCTCAAAGAAGTAAAAACAGCAAGTAAATATATGAAAAAATGTTCCACATCACTGGCAATTTGAGATATGCAGATGAAAACAACACTGAGATTCCACCTCACCCCACAAAGAATGGCTGCTGTCAAGTAATCAACCAATAACAAATGTTGGCGGGGTTGCGGGGAGAAAGGAACCCTTCTCCATTGGTGGTGGGAGTGCAGACTGGTGCAACCACTATGGAAATCAATATGGAGATACCTCAAAGAGCTGAGACTAGAGGTCCCATTTGACCCAGCTATCCCTCTGCTGGGTATCTTTCCAAAAGAATTAAAAGAATCATATCACAGTGATATATGTGCACCTATGTTTATAGTGGCACAGTTTATAATAGCTAAAACTTGGAAACAGCCCATTTGCCCATCAGTTGGAAACTGGATAACGAAGATGTGGTTTTCTATAAAATGGAATATTACTCAGCCATAAAGAATGAGAAATTAGATTCATTCATAGGAAAATGGATACATATTGAGTGTATACTCCTAAGTGAAATAAATAAGTCACACATGTGTAAGAACTGAATCGTTTCTCTGGTGTGAATAAACTGTAATAGTACATAAGATCCTAATGATATAATGGACAATGTGAAACAGGAAGAAAGGGGCTAAAGGTGTAGGGAAAGTGGGAAGGGTAGGGGAAAGCTAATAAGGGGAAAAATATGAGAAAACGAAAAAATGGAAATGAAGTGTTTGTAAATAGGAGGGGAGGAGGGGATGAAAGGAGGGCAGGGACAAGGGGAAAAAATGAGAACCAAGACCTGTCATGTAAAGGTACAAGATCCCAATAATGAATGTAACTACTGTATACCTAAAATGTACCAATAAACTCAATGAGATAAAAAAAATAGAACTGCCAAAATTAAATCTTACATCTATGAAAAAAAAAAAAAAAAGATCAGCCAGATAGTTATCCCCCCAGTCACACAACATTTAGCCAGGGAAGGCTCTGCAATAAAACTTGTCTCCTTAGTTTTTCTTCAGCCTCTCTTTGCCTTTCAAAGGTTCTTTTTATGTTGAATGTATATTTATAATCAAATAGGGAGAAAAAAATCAGTGTGGCCCAGGGGCCAGTGGACAGTTGGGCAGGATCTAAATCAAGTTATTGATTAAAAGATCAAGAGAGCCAGGTGTTGTGGTACACACCTGTAATCTCAGCATTCAGGAGGCTGAGGCAGGAGGATCACATGAGTTCAAGGCCAACCTGAACTGAACTACACAAGACTG